TTACAGTAATTATGTCCATTACAGAACCCAAAAGGGCAGGGATAGAGACTATTCGTGTAACCTGTGGGCCTAAAGTAGACACAGCATGGTGTACAGATTCAACGGGGGCCTATTAGATGGAAATTCCTTGGAATGCCATCCCTCTTACCGTACATCTCTGTCCTGTTCTCAAATCCCAAATCAAAATCATTCCAACATCCCCCTCTTTTGTGGAACTTTCTCTGTTATTCACGCAAAGCCAGCCACAGAGCAGATTGGTTTCATTGATCGATTAACTGTTTGACTACAAGGAATTAAATTAGTTAAGGTCTAATTCCCAGGGGATTTTCGCAAACTCTGTCTGTCCACTTGAATTATCACCAGTAATACCACGGTTACACGAGAGTCAGAGAAGTATTTTAAGAATATGCCAAGCTCTGTTTTTTAAACATGAAAATGTATTTTCGCCTGCCCTCCTGAGCCCCACCTAGTTCCCAAGGGCAGTGCAAAGCCCCACCAGAAAGTGAGCTGTACGACTGTTGCCACCTATAGGTGACAAATGTAGTATATTCGTTTGCTCATACTCCAGATGAAGCACGAGATAGGAAAGAAAGGTCTTACGGAGCCCACACAATCCTTGTCCAACACTAACCTTCTCAGGGCTTCTTATCATTAATATTGTCGTCCTTCAGTAACTTCCTATTTCAGACGCTCCTCTTAAAGATAATCGTGGCTGGTATTTGTAAAGCTGTCTGCAGGACAGAGGTTAAGAGCTTGGCCTGCGCAGGCAAACTGCCCGGGTCCAAATCCACACTCCACCAGGTACTGCTGCCGGACCTTAAACTAGTTACTTAACTTCCTCGAGCCTCGACTGGCCCCAAATGGAAATACTAGTGACACCCACCGCCGAGGAATTGATGTGAGGATAAAAACAGATAAGCCGTGCGATGTGCTTAGCAGTGTCTGCACAGAGCAGACTCTCAATTAAATGCTAACTGTTATTACCATGATTAGTTTGCAAAGCACCTTCACATACAGTCACTGCCCGCTAATGTGCAGTTTGGTTACCACTCGACAGGTACATCATTAGCACATTACTGTGTGACCTCAAGCCCTCCTTGTATTTTAAATGTAAACGTTAAAGGACTTCAAAATTTGAAAAGAATACCTGAGATCTGACAAGACAGTGTTGAGGACAGCTTGGGAGGCTTCTAATTGGAGGCAGGGAAGGAAGCTCCTGCAGGACCTTTATTCTTAGCCGGCAGGACCACTGGTGAAACCCAAACAAGCAGTTGAGACCACTAGAGAGGGGGGACGCTAGGGGTGGGGCAGGTGAACCCATCGAGTCTCCCCTGAGAATCTACTGACGACCGAGCACTAGACGAGGCCTTTAGGGAAAAAGCTGGTCAGGGAAGGAGGAGGAGGGGTCAGCAAGGAAATAAAATGTATAAAACGTGATCTCTACCCCCGAAGTTCAAACAGGCAGAAGACTGTGATAGGACATATACAGTGATGGGGGTGGGGGTGGGGTTGCTGCTTTGTTTTTTTTTCTTAATATAAGCAAACTAATTAAAAATGAGAGGATCTTAAACACAAGCAAGTCATGTTCTACATTGATAGCCTCCTCTTTAAAATCTAAAGATCTGGGCCCAGCATGTAGGCAATAGCTAGATGTTCAGTAGCTGTTCCCGTCTCCAGAACAGGCACGTGCCACCTGAGCTGACCACAGTCCTTGCCACCCCGTTCTCTCCCCAACATTCAGGTTAAGCACCAAATGGCTGTATCTGTCGCTCTTGCACTGATGTTGTTCTGATAATCAAGAAATATCTCGGGGTGCCTGGGTGGCTCAGCCGGCTAAGCATCCGGCTTTGGCTCAGGTCATGATCTCACGGTTTGTGGGTTCGAGCCCCGCGTCGGGCTCTGTGCTGACAGCTAGCTCAGAGCCTGGAGGCTGCTTCAGATTCTGTGTCTCCTTCTCTCTCTGACCCTTCCCTGCTCACGTTGTCTCTCTCTCTCCCTCTCTCTCAGAAATAAAAAACATTTTTAAAAAGTTAAAAAAAAAAAAGAAATATCTCTGGACCCACCTCTCATTAAAAACTGTGAAAATAAAAGGAAGACTAAGAAAGCCATGTGATTTTTCTTAAAATAGGCCATTCCTTCATTTCTATCACCTCCACAGGCCTTTGTTTTAACCAATTGAAGAAACAAACTGACAAGCACAAAGCATTTAGAAAACATGATGTACAATTTATGTCCGACACAGTGGGTTTTTTTAATGGTAAATAACTCCTTCCTCATCTCTACCTTAATACACTGAGTCATACTTATCATCTATCTTCTCTCCAAGACTACAAGGTCTTCCAGACTAGGTGATTGTCAAATTTTAGCAAGTATCAGAATCACCAGGAGAGCTTGTTAAAAACATCTTCTGGGCTTCAGCATCTCTGATGAAGTTAAGTCTGGGTGGGGCTCAGGAATTTGTGTTTCTAACAAGCTTCCCCAGAATGCTGATGCTGGTGGCCTGTAGAGCAGTTTCAGAAACTGTCCAGAAAAAGAATCCTGCCTTACTGTTATTTATTGAGCACCTACTACTATGTGTCAGGTCTTAAGGTGTTTTACTTCAACTACTCCCAACAATCCTGAAATAGAAGTGTGTGTCACCATTTTACACCTGCAGAAGGGCGCTCCAGGGCACTCACACAGCCAATAAAAGGGCAAAGCTGTGATTCAAGCTCAGGTGTGTCTGCCTCCAGGGCCCACCTTCTCCCCTTGTCACCTAACTGTATATCCTCAACACCAACACTTTCCACCTGCGTCCTGCCCCCTTCTCTAGTGAGTGTTTATTGAATGACTTTGAGATCCACATGGGCTAGAAATAGGCAAGGAAAATGCTTGTGGTTCTTGAAGAAAGAAAAAGGGAGAAGATATTCAGGTGAGAAGAAAATTGCACTGAACGTCCTTTATTTACCTACATTTGGTACATCAAAGCATTTCCTGTTCTCTGGGTATTGTTAGGATGGGACTATATAATTCTTTATTAGAAATGTCAAAAAATTGGCATGGCAATGAAAAGGGGCTTTTTGCATGGCGTTATTCCTAATTATGGAGCCACTTTTGTGTAATCATCTAGAAATCTGTTCCTTAGCCTGCCTCTTATTTCAAGGCAGCCATTTGGGGTTGAAAATGAGCTCCGTGAGTAATGCTCCCAGACATTAATAGTATAATGAAATAAGCACTACTTCAAGGGCGATTTTCAAATATTCCTATAGAATTATGCCATTTCCATAATGGAAAGAGAAACTGTGTCTCGGCCTGCTCTTAGGACACCAAAGCCATCCACTCACATAGCTTTTTCTTTCCTCTTTCTATTAAATATTTAGCAAAGGAGAATCATGGGCTTGGACTGTGTGTGTTGTTCCCTGGGTGGGAACACATTTTCCTCACTGCACCTGTGTGCGTCCGTCATAGCAATGTGGGTGGGGTTGTGGTAGGTTGGGGGACAGAACTGAATTTGTCTGGGACAGAAGCAATAGAGATGGTCCTACTTATCATCTACCTTCTTATTTAAGTGGAATATTTGGGTGGCGAGATGAAAAATCAAAAACAAAAACAAAAAAACAGGACATCTTCTCTTTTGTTCCATAAGAGCATGGTTTAGTAGGAACAAGACCATGGAACGCAGCCAGCCTGGAATTCAAATCCTATTCTCCATCACTTGCTGAGTGACCTTGGGCAAGTAACTCTGTTGCTCTGAACCTTGTTTTTTCTTCCTTTTCAGAGATGTGGGGCGCCTGGGTGGTTCAGGCAGTTAAGCGTCTGACTTCGGCTCAGGTCATGATCTCACGGTTCATGTGTTCGAGCCCTGCGTCGGGCTCTGTGCTGACAGCTAGCTCAGAGCCTGGAGCCTGCAGCCTACTTCACATTCTGTGTCTCCCTCTCTCTCTAACCCTCCCCTGCTCGAGCTGTCTCTCTCTCTCTGAGAAATAAATTTTTAAAAAACATTGAAATAGAGATATTTTGCAAGTCTTCTGTGAAAATGCTTCTGGATAAAAATCTCTTGAGTTTTATTTACGTGGTGGATGCTTAATAAATGGTAGCCCATCATCACCATGTCTAAGCCCCTATCCCTACCTTTTCCTGGTGTTTGGATAGAATTTTTGCCCAAAAAGGAAAAGCCTTAGTGGCTTTAACACTCCACACATGTTCCTTCTGTATCTGTCCCTTTCTTCTCTCACCTCAGACCTTAGGAACCACTTGAGCAAATGAATATATTCCTGTTTACAGAGTTCACCTACGACAATTATTGAATATGACTGCAGTGTTTTATAAAGTCCTAGAGACAGCCAGTAGCATCCTACAAACATCCCCATTTAGATTGGTATTACTGGAACCCCTGGAAGGGGGATGTTAGTAACAGGCAGAAGCATTACTACAGTTTTGTTTTTAAGCCCTTGGGCTTCCTAGAATCTACATGCCCAGACCTGGAGATGTCTTTCAAATATCTTAAGGCTCATAGAGGGATAAAACAGAAACATGATAATGCTTCTGACACATTTAACAGGTACTGACATTTCACGGCAATTTAAGAGGGTGTATGCCTTTCCCACCCCACCTCCCATATAACCCCAATTTCTGGCTGAAACTCAATCCCGATCCATATTTAAAAACAAGACAACTACTAATACTTAGTAAGAAAAGAGAGGAGTTTGAAACTTTGGTGAAGAAATAAGAGGCACTTACCGGAACAAATTCCAAATAGATCCATTTAAAATGAAATTAAGTGGCACTTAACCGGTTTGCAAATCGGGACCTATTTATCTCAGTAAAATGATTAAAGTCTTGATTTATCCCTAAAATCGGCTTTATTATTACCTTTAATTATACCAGAAGGTTGTTAAAGACTTGTAGGGTCTCTCTATCCCTTTAAACGGTACGTTATACAGACAATAATTGAATATTGGATAGAATAACTTGATTTTCCAAAGAAATATGTTTCTAATATTGTCCTCTTTTTATTGCAGAAATTGAAACAAGTTGAAGAAACAAAAGAAGATCCTGAGAATAGATTATCTCAAATTTCCCTGGAGTCATTCAATAAATATAACGGCAAAACTATGATTCTGTTAGAAAGAGAGAAGAACTCTCTGAACACGGTTGAAGGACAAAAGGAAGAAAAAGAAAAAAATGAAGAGGCATCTTTGAGTAGCTCAGATAGGCCTGGGGTGGACAATTTGGAATCACTGAGTGATTCTTTATATGATAGCTTCTCTTCCTGTGCAAGTCAGGGTTCAAATGATGTATAAAGAACCCTTTTTTTTTTCTTAGCTGAAAATGGAGCACTTAAGAAACAGTTGTGGGGAGGGGAACAAAGATGGCAACAAGAAAGCCTTGCTTTTCTGACAGGGAGACAGGCTCCATTTGTTGTGTTTCACGAAGATGACACGTAAACACACCCACAATGCAGAAGTCTTAATTTTGCACTTTTTTTGAATACTTGTACAGAAGTTGTAAATTTTTGGAGAAGAAATTATATTTGTAGCAAAAGAAAAAAAAAAGACAGCAATAAATTGAATCAGTGCCATGCTCTTGAAACGATGTGCTAAGTGTTAGAAGTTGATAATATATTTTTTAAAAATTCCGCTAAGGTGTTTGTTGACTTGCTTGTCGTACTCCTCAAATTGTTTGTGGGTGCACTATGTAAAGCGAAAACAGGGCCTTCCAGAAACCAGAGGGCCCACTGCCATCTCCAACTCACAATCTCAACACGATACCAACTTGAATTCAAATGCGATTTCAAAATTGTTGCCAGAGAGATTTCAGGTTCTAGGAGTGAGTGTAATTCTGCCTCCACGGAAAAATGTAATAGGTACTCAAGTGTGACCCTGATGGGAAAGGGTGTGGATCAGAGCTGAACTAATTCTCTTTTCAACCACAGATTTTCCCTCCGAACATTTCCTTACAGCGTCTTCTACTTAGTGCTTCTCTATGAGTCTCAACAGTATTTGTTGATTTCTATCTCCTTGCTCTTTTTATTAAAATCTGGGCAAACTAGAAATGAAAGCAAATTCCTATCTGTCATGTTCACTTTTTAAAAAATAAAATGAATTGCTGGTGCTACAAAAAACTCTTACTTTCTAAGATCCTTTTTCCCCCCTACAAAGTCTGTTTATATGTGAGGATGAATTCTATTTTAAAGGTTATTTGTATTTTTTCTAGATGTGAACTATTTATAATTGCTTTTGTACAGGAGTTTGTAAAGTAGGCCTAATAGAAATACTTTTAGGATCTATATGGTTACTTCAGCACACACTTGTATGTTTAAAGAGTATTGTATAATCAGTGTTATTTGGTTAATTTGTGCAATTTGTTATACTGAATTTTGTTATCTGAAATGAAAATTATGTAAAGTATCATTGTCTTTCAGACTTCTAAAAAATTCTTTCGTTTCATTTCTGAATAAAAGTCCTACCACAGTTGCACCCTCTGAAATCTTTTTTTTTTTTTATTTCTAGGAGAGAGAGAGAGAGAGAGAGACAGCGTGAGCAGGGGAGGGTCAGAGAGAGGGGGAGTCACAGACTAAAACAGGCTCCAGGCCCTGAGCTGGCAGTCAGCACAGAGCCCGACGCGGGGCTCGAACCCACGAACCGCGAGATCATGACCTGAGCGAAAGTCGGACACTTAACCGACTAAGCCACCCAGGCGCCCCTCACCCTCTGAAATCTTAAAAGAACTTGTTCAAGGATCCTTTGGCCCAGTTAGTTGCTCTCACATGTGCTGCAATCAATTCCCAGAAGGAATAAATAAACTGGCCCCTGTGCTCCCGAGATAGTAATTCGGCCAATTGACTGCAGACAAGCGGGTAACGGTCAGAGCGTTCAGTCTCCCCGAGGGGTTAACCAACTAGAAAAGAAAAGAAGAGGGGGGCAAAGGGAGAGAAGGAGCCTGAGGCAGATATGGAACAATCTCTGCAGAGGAATTACAAGAAAGTCATTTAAGCCCATTTCCAGACCAGCTCTGCGGGCAGGATGGGAAAATAAATAATTAGCGTCCTGGCAGAGGAAGCTTCCTCGGAGAGCGGGGTGGCCCAAGCGGTGAAGAGGGGCAAAGCTTCTGAAGCTATTTCCACAGAAATAGATTCTCCCCCAGGGACTCGGGGGGGGGGGGGGAAAGGATGGCAACGTGCGCGATTGGGGGCGGGGGCGCCGAGGCTCCGGCACCACCTGCTGCAAGGCGCGGCTCCAAGGAAGACGAACTTAGCACCGCGGCGTCCCAGGAGTATTCAAGGTGGGTCGCCTGACTGAGAGAGGGGGAATGGGACGGGGTCTTAAAAGAGGGGGGCAGGGCAGCCTGCGACTGGGTCCCGGGCTGGGAAGGCGTGATGCAGGAGAGGACGTGGGAGTATGTCCTAATAATCCGTGACTTTGAGAAAAGCAGGATGAAGATCCTGGCCTTTGGGAGGAAAGAAATAGAGGAAAGATATCCCCTCCTTCACCGCGATTTGCTAACTGGTGGGAATTCGCGACAGTTGTCCCAAGGGGGGGGAGCGCCCTGTCTTGGGCTAGGCGTCACTGCACCCTCCAGCTGTGCGAGCGGGCAGAGGGAAGGAGGGCCCCCCGGGGCGAACGGCGCCTGTCCCGGCAGGGTCCTCACCGCACCCTGCCCCCCCCCGCCGCCGAAGCCTATCCTGGTCTTGAACCAGGGGCTTCTCCCAGGAAGAAAAGGCGCAGCTGCACCGGCCACCTCGGGAAGCCTGCAGGTGTGCAACTTCGCCTTACTCACGGGAGCACGAGCCCCTCTAGCCCGCCGCCCCCGGCGCTGGGCTCCCAACGCGGGCCTCGCAACAACGCCAGCCGCGTGGACCAGCCCTGGGGGGCGCCGAGGGCTGCTAGGCACGCGGTCTTCCGACCCCACCTCGCGGTCCCGCAGTCAGAGACCGGCCGGTCCCCGCGGCACCTGCTGCGCCCCGCGCACGCTTCCCCAGTCTCCAGCCTCCCCACCTTGGAAAACTACACTCTGCCTCTCCGGCGTCCCCGTCCTGGGGACGTGCGGAGGCGGGAGGGGAGGGCGATAGGAAGGGGGTGGGGACGTGAAAAGACGGTCCCAGCCTTCCTCGCCCTCCACCCCCACTCCGAGTCGGCAGCCGTCACGTGGTGCCTGGAGCGGGAGGTGGGGAGAAGAGACGAGAGTTTTTTGGGTGCTCCGGCTCGCCAGTAGTTCCTCTAGTCTCAGCCGCCAACTCCGGAGACGCCGCGCTCCGCCCGGGAGCGCCCGCGGGAGGAGCAGCGCCTCGCAGCCGGGAGCCCGGGCTCGGGCGATGCTGGCGCCGCCGGCGGCACCTGCGGCTCCTCGTGGCGGCGGCGGCGGCCTGGGCGGCAGGAGCACGGGCCCCAGCAGCCTCGGCAGCCACAGCCGCTGCGGCCCGGGCAGCCTCCGCCGCGGTCGCCGCCTCTGATGCGCCTGCCCTCTCCTGGTTCCGCGGCTCCGGGAGGATGTGGGTCCTCGGCATCGCGGCAACTTTTTGCGGATTGTTCCTGCTTCAAGGTAAGAAGAGGAAGCGACTACCAGCCCCTCCAGGCGCGCACACCCCCATCGGCCCTTCTGCCCCTTCGCCCCCCTGGCACCCACCTCCGGGCCCGTGCTGCGCAGGGGTTGCCCAGCGGGAGTTTGGCGGCGGCTTTGGGTGCTGGTGCCCGGAGGCGCGACGTTGGAAAGTCTCGAGGAGGAGAGGCGGGAGCGACGGATTTGTGGGACTGGAGATGCGGAGGCTCGGGCTGCGGGAGAAGCCGAGCTGGGGAGGAGGGAGGGTCCGAGAGGTGCTGGGGCCTTACCAAGGGAGAGGGGGCGATAAAGCCCCTGGCCCCACCAAGTTAGCGGGCGTCTCCAGCAACCCGTGGGAGTGGCGCCGCCGACAGGTGACGGGCGCGCTGGGCAGCCTGGGGCCGGGGCGCGCCGGAGCCGGGTGGCACCGCTCAGGGCGCACCCTCTGTGCAGCCGCGAGGAAGCGCGGGATCCGGGGCTCGTCCGTCCCCGGGAGCTGGGGGCGTTAAGTCTAGACAGCGGCTCAGTGATCCCGGCAGCGCGCCCAGGCTGGAATGCCGAGAGGTGCGAAAACGTCTCGGTGCCTCTCAATTATGCAACCGGCTCTCGAGCGAGCGCTGCGGAGTGGGGACCCCGGCCGGACCCTAGCCAAACGGGCTGCCCTGAAAGCCAAGAAGAAAAGGTGGTGGTGTCGCGGCTCGGGCGCGCGCGCGCTCACACTCACATACACGCCCCTCGTACACGCTGCGCCTTCCTGCCCAGCGCTGCTGCGGGGACTGTCCCGAAGCGGGCCGGGGACGCGGGACGCAGCAGCACTTGGCGTCCTGCACTTCCTCCTGGGTTCCTGGGTAGTCGTGCAGGGAGCCTCGGAGCCACAGCACAGGCACGCTGACGACAAAAACTAAACCTAAAAAGGCGTCCGCAAATGCAATCGCGAATGGTACCAAAATAGTAATTAAGTAATTTGTAACCAATTAACAATCAGGCAAATCCGTAGCTGTAGACTAGAGCTGAAGCATGTCTCCGGAGCTACTTCGCTCTCGACTTGTGTACCCGTCCTTTAAACTTCTGTGGGCGAAAGGCCAGGTGTGATGTCCGACGGGCTCCTTGTTTCCGGACCATTGGTCCAGGGGTCTCAGGCAGAATTCAGTTGTATCCTGCGGGACCCTTGGTGTCCGCGCTGCCCCCTGCCGGCTTCAGCCACTTCGCCTTTCTTGGAGACCCCAAGGGTGCTGAGCCCAAGCACCCCCTAGGTCGGGATCTGTGGCTGGCTGGGGCAGCGGAGGGTCGCTGTCTCGGGGCTGGATCTGAACCCAACTGCTTCTGTCCCCACAGGCTTTGCGCTGCAAATCCAGTGTTACCAGTGTGAAGAATTCCAGCTGAACAACGACTGCTCCTCCCCCGAGTTTATAGTGAATTGCACGGTGAATGTTCAAGACATGTGTCAGAAAGAAGTGATGGAGCAAAGTGCCGGTAAGAACCCAACAGCCCCCAACCCCCTCTAGCATTGGTCAGGGGTAGCAGTGGGGAGGTGGGGGGCATCAGATTACAGGAAAGGGGTCTGACTTTGACTTAATGCACACACACTGGTTATCTCAGATTTACTTTTACAGTGCTGGCAAAATGAAGAGTTCCAAGTTAATCCCATTAGAGTTAATTACCAGGGCTTCCCCCCAAGGGGCTGGGGAGGGGAAGTGCATTTAAATGTGTGGCTCTCCTCTTTTTTATTTACTCCCCTCCTCTCCCTCTGCTGAAAGCTGATCAGGAGGCTGGGAAATATATGGATAACCAGCTCGGCTTGGGCAACTAGACAGTAGCCTGTGAGCAATGTCAGCCTGAAATATGAAGCTAGTTGAAGTTCCCAGAGGTCAGAGCTTGAAAAATGTGTTTTGTCATAGAGCCATGCCGTATTTCTTAGAAGAACAGTACAGGATCTTTATTTAATTTTAGAGCTCCTGCATCAAATTCCAGGCACAAATTGCCAAGATTGTTCAAAGGAATGTAGTTTCCAGCCCCACAAGCTTAGCTGCTAGCTGGCTGATGAGATGTGCTGGGCTTTATGCAGACAAGGAGGGCATCCTGTGAGAGCAAACCTCACCTGCTTCAGCTGACCAGAATTTTCTCCCTGATGTGGAACTCTCCAGCCCCTCCCAATAGGCTTACCAGAAACCAAAGTTGCCTACAAGTGCACCTGGCACTTTGGGGAAAAGGGGTGGAATTCTAGTTTGAATTCCAAGGTCAAACCCATAAACCTGGACCTCACCCTTTTCGGGAAACTAACAAGAAGGGAAATGGCATCATGGGCAAATGATAGGGAATGAAGCAAAGTTCTGCTCCCCTTTTAGTTGGTGTAACTGCTTAGCCTCCAGGGCTTGTGGGTGAAGGGATTAAATCTGTGAAGTGATTCTCTTCACCTGCTAGCAAATGAATGCAAAGGTTACAGTTTTAAAGGCAGCACCTTGGAAAAGTAGTTTCTTCTCAGAGAAGGGCCTGGAAATGCCTTGTTACCAACGACAGCGACATTTGATGAGCAGAGAGCTAGCTCCTCACTGTGCGGTGATAGGGTATGCGTGCACAGTTTTAAAAGCTGTCCCTGTTAGGTCATTAGGTGTGAGATCTTTCCACAAAAATCACTTGTTTGGGAAGGCTGAAACATAATTGCTCTCAAGAATAATTTGTCCCGGGGCGCCTGGGTGGCTTAGTCGGTTAAGCATCCGACTTTCGCTTAGGTCATGATCTTGTGGTTCATGGGTTCGAGCCCCTCATCGGGCTCTGTGCTGACTGCCAGCTGGGAGCCTGGAGCCTGTTTCAGTCTGTGACTCCGTCTCTCTCTGACCCTCCCCTGCTCACGCTCGCTCTCTCTCTCTCTCCCCGCCCAGAAATAAAACATTTTTAAAAAAAAGAATAATTTGTCCCAAGAAAAGCAGTACGCATTGTTCTGTCATTTGTCTTGGGATGTGGGATATTAAAAAAGCAAAAGAAACTCTAGTGACGATTCTGTAGCTAAGATTGATATCTATGATTTTAATAAGTTGTTTCTTTTCTCCTGGTGTTTCATTCCTGAATATTTTACCTGCAAAATCTACTGCCCTTCTACGAGAGGAACTGCTGCGATTTTAGTTGGAATCACCTGAATGTGTTAACATTTCACTCCCCCCCCCCACCCCACCCCACCCCCGCAAATATTTGCAGCTTTCTTTGAAGTGGTAGTTTGGAGCCAGAAAAAATAGGGATAAACTGTGGACACATGAGGAACTTTCTCAGGATCCTCTAGGCCAATGCTTACCTGAGTATCATGTTTTATAAGCTGGGGTATGGTTGAGACAAGGAGAGAAAAAGATACAACCCAAACCATAGTCAGAAGAGATGTCTTTTTTCAGAGACATACTTATTCCTCTCTAGAAGTATATGTAAGATAAACACCACACACTCCATTTTCAAAGTGTTGTTGCTCTTCATCTTGCTTTATTGTCTCCTCCAAACAACACTGTAAAAAAGGCAGATCAGGTATTCTAAATCCTGTCTCCTCTATAGGAATCTTTAGTACAGAGAGTCTCTTAAGTGCCAGGCCTGAAATTGCTATTCATTGGATCAAGATTGGCACCTTCTCTCCAAACTAGGTTCTTCCAGCCATAGTTCATGGGCCAAAGGGTACACTGAGAAAGAAAAAAAGAAAGCAATACCAATTGTGAAGTGTGAAAATCAGCAATGCTTGGACTCAAAGGAAAAGCCTGTTAAAAGGGGGAAGGACACACATTCTAAGCCTGAATTCAGTAAAGTTAGCCAAGTGCATGTTTCTTTGTCAAAAGAGCAATGTTTGGGGGTCTGCTCCTTCCAAGGCGCTTTGATTTTTATTTCCATGTAGCCGTTAGACCAATGAATTGGCGTGACTCTTAACACTCCTGACGCTGACAGGGATAGAGAGCCAGGCTAAGACTTAGACTGTAGGTGAGCACGTGTAGTACAATCCTCACAGTCAGTGACCACATTGTAGTACAGTCATCCTGGGAGCATGGGTGCTCTACGCAGTGGCTACTTTCCTAGGTTTTATGCAAAGCATCTCCTGAAATCTGGTAGTCCTTTTTGGTGGCCCTGGTTTCCCCAGACCCTAATCCACCAGTGATTAATTCTGCAGGTTCAGTCTTTCCACTCTGGAGAAAGAAAGTCACACCTGTTACATGATAGCATTAGGAACTGAAGTTAGAAATATTGTCATTTGATCAATAACCTGTTGTTTTGAGAATCTTAGTGCATGGAAATTGAAAGGGCTCAGTGACTCAGAATTAAGGGGGCACATCAGATTCTTCATAGAAGTTTTGTTGAAATCCACATGTCCCGCATCACTCCTGCAGCAGCCAGTTCTCTTAGTCTGTGATATACCCAGCCATGGGTCTTTGATAAGCTCCCCAAGTGACTCTGGGGTCCCCTAAATCTGGAACAACCTTTTTGTGTTATAGAGGAGGGAAACAAGGATCAGGAAAGTTACATATTTGGTCCCTGTCTGCCAGCCGACTATTTCCAAAAGGCACCTGCTTTCCTGAGCCAGCCCTTTATAGCAAAATACACCATGAGGTTTGCCTGAAAAAGATAATGCAAGCAAAGTGCCAAATACATAGATGGTTTCCATGTCCACCATATTCACCTTACAGGCTTTGTGAACTGGTTGACTGGACAGGCCATGAAATGGATATTAAAGAAATATGGGAACCAACCAGTAGGGTTTTTAAAGTTTGAGTGCTGTATGGACTGGCATTTTTTCACAGGTCTAGGAAAAGCACGGTTTTAACAGACTAAGAGATTTTAATGAACCAAGCAAGTTTGACATTAAGCAGTGATGAAAGGCATTCTCTTTCCAAAAAATACCAGCAATGCAATATGCTTAGGTCTTTAGTTAGTCCTTTCTGGATTAAGTCTGCAAACTCAGCTCTTATGAATTTGGAGACAGGTACATTTAATTTTCAATTGGGAAGTACATTTAAAATTAACCTTTACCTCTTCCCCAGAGTGGCATTTCTATTAGGTGCAGAGATTTTCCACTGCTTTTTTTTTCCCCCCCTTGGTCATTTCTGGAGTTCTAAAGCACTGGGCTCTGGGGAGGAAGAGCCTTCCTTCATTGTCCTTACTAATTGATATTTAAATGTTTGCATAACAAATGACTTGTTCTTGCAAGTTCTGCTCTTAATGAGTTAGCTTCTCCTTACCAGCACCCTTGATAATGACATTTCTTCAGCTCTTGCTTATCACCGCACTCTGAAAAATATTTCAAATATTGATTCTCATTTCAGAATAGAAGCTCCCCCCATATGAATTTTTAAACCAGGATATAAAGAATGTGAATTTGCATTTGTTTGACAGTGCAATCTTGTAATTAGAGTTTTTCCTCTTGACTAGATACAGTGAAAGGGGCATAATTTAATTTTTATAGACTAGCCAATTTCTGCCCTAAGTAAAATATGGCTCTGTCAGTGAGCAAAATGTTACAGGTTCTCCTAAACCTTATTTAAAAGTTAAATGCAGTATATTGAGAGAAAGTTCATGGTCTGAATCAGTAACCTAATCGATCTCTTCACCCATCTTTTGCAACATGCATTAATCTATTTGTCTTTTTTGCAATACAAGAGTTACTGATTTATATGCCATGTTGCATCTACATTATGGCTATATAAGTAATGGCTGTTTTCCTTCCAGATTAGTTAGTTGCTCATTAAGTTGGGCAGGGATGGTTGCTTGCCTTGAATAGGTTAATTGTATGCCTTATTTTCTCATGAGCTAAATAAGGGATAGCAAGTGAGGACCTGATATCCCTGAAACAATGAGTCCTCCACTGTTTGTGGAAAGGGAAAGCTAACCGTGGCCTATGTGTTCTTACGTCTATGTGCCCCTTAATTTCACCACAATTTTTAAAAAAATGGGCTCCAGTTTGTCCTTGGGGTAGACTTGTCAGGAAGAAGGGCCAGTTCTGCTCATCAATATTATATCACAGTTACTCTGCACATGGATTCATTTATTTAAGGTGCACATGCACCCAGCGACACACACAATGGCATACGTGTGTGTGTGTGTGTGTATTTTTACAGGTTTTCCCACATACGTTTGCATACACATCTATATAATTCTTCTCAGAAAAAAATAAAAATATTGTCATCCCTCTCTGCAGACATTCAAATCATAACTTATTTAATCTGTGTTACGTTGTATGCACATTTTCTCACTTTGCTCCCAGAGCAATTTTGTTAAGAGCATCAGTGGTTACCTGTTCATCGTCAGTGCCCCCTTGTCTTCTCCCTATCGTTTCTTTTCCCCCATCATCCTCGCTGTCATTTCCTGCATCCCACCTGTAGTCTTAACCTTGTCACCCCCAAATCCATGTTGAATCAGTCACCTGTGCTATGGACTATGGTCTGAGAATGAAGTGAAAAACAAATGTCAAAAAACAAATCGCCCTATTTTAGCTTTGCTGAGGAGAGTCCAAC